GGGGAGGGATGTTGGCTCTCGCCCATGAGAGCAGGAGCGCTCGAGTCTATTCCAGCAAAGACAAGGGTATTCCCAGCCTGACTTGAGAGCTCGCCCCGTTTTTGCTTTGGTTTTTTTGTTGGTTTTCTTCTTTTCTCCCGCTCTCTGCGTCTCATCTGCTTCGTAGGTTGGACGGGTTACAAAGACTTTCTAACGGGGTGGGAGGGAGGTTTGTGGAGCCGCTTCCCGTGCGGATGCGCCCTGTTCGCCCCGCTCTCCCGAGCCCTCGCCTTGCGAAACAGCCGTGGGTCACGGCCGTGTCCCCCGCGGGCACGCGGGACGGAGCCGCCGGTGCCTCCTTCGTCTGCCAGCGTTTGGCACGGGCGGCCGGGGGAAGCGTTATTTGTAGAAAGTGGGTTTCAGAGCAAGCTCTAACCACAGAAAGGCAGCGCCCGGGCCCTTGGGTGAGCTGACACACAGGAAGCGTCTGGGCCCTAATGAGCGTTTTTGTTTGTTTTTTTTTACTTTTTCCAGATGACGGAGCAGAGGAAGCAGAAACAGCGCATCGGTCTCCTAGGACACCCTCCGCCCATGAATGTGAACCCGCAGCAACCGGCGTAAGGCAGGGGGGGTCCCAGAACCCCTCTGGCAGCAGCACCAAGTCACGCTAACCCCGAGCTCAGATCCCGCCACCGAGGCTGCTTCTGCGTACGTTCGTTTTTGTAAATAACCTGTTTTTATACTGTATGTATATGACTGCAACTCTATAAAGTTTGGGGCGTGCATCTTGTAATTAGAACCGCTGGCACCAGGACGGAGGTTGAACTTTGTGCCAAAACTATCAAAAATTGCCTTTTTTTTTTTTTTTTTTCTTCTTGGAAGGACTAAAGAGAGCACCTGAATTGCACTTGAAAAGAATATTTAACTACGTGACATGTATTTTGTATTTAAAAAGAAGAAATAGAATAGCTGGTATTTATGTTTTTATACAATTGTGCAATATGAATTATGCAATCACTATATATTTGTAACTCCTGAATGTCCTAAAGGGAGTGCACATCTTTCAATCTGGTGTGTTAGTACAATGTAATAAATGGTATAAAATTACAGGTGTAAATGAGGCTGCTGCAAAATTGTGTATCTGGTGATTTTTCATACCCTTGGACATTTTTGTACCATGTGTGTAAATACCTTGCAATGCCATATCTGTTGCCTCTTCCTCCCAGAGATGACGCTGGGAATCTGTGAGCTGTTAAAATTGGTATCACTTAAAGCAAAAATGTTACTTTGAAGCTTCCAAACGAGGAAAGCAGGAGGTATTTTTCAAGTGACTTGTTCAAAGTACTGAGGCTAGAAGAGCTCAGATACCGGGTTTTTTAAACGCTAAGATTTCTTAAAGGGAACTTTTTATGCAAAATGAAGTTTGGGATGAGGATGCACTTACTGGTGTGTCGGTGCAGTTTCCTACGGGCATTTTGTGCCACGACACCGAAAACTTATCACGAGGCTGTCCAGGCTTTGCGTTCTCAGTGTGTAGGATCCTTTTCCCTTTTTTTTTTTCTTTTTATTAGAGACCTACGTGCCTGCTACAGCTGTAGCAAACAGGCATTGCACCGACTGAAACAGGAACTATCCCGTTAGGACTGTAGCTGAGCACTGACGTGTAATGCTTGTGAGAGAGCCATGGGTTTGAGGTTGGTCCGTCCCACCCCTTCCTCTCCCTCTCCACTCGGTCACCTTCTTTGGTTTCTGATTCTAGAGAGTATGAAAGGAAACTTGGTTGTTGTTCCTTCTTTTTTTTCCTCCAATCCGTTGCATAGTTTTATACATGGACCTCATTTTACAAAAGCTAACTTCTCTGCAATACTGTCTTAAAAAAATAAATAAATAATGAAATAAATTTTAAAAAAAAAAAGCTACAAACAGAGCTATGAAAATTTGTAAATGCATAAATATAGGTATTTAAATAAATGATGCAAAATACTCTACAGTGAGAGGCTGCTGGTGGTTTGTTTCCCCCCTCCAAGGTGGTGGATGGTCACACTCACCCACCAGAGAGGACTTGCAGGTAAGGATGATGATTTTCACTGGGGCAGGGTTGAGGTTTTGGGACTTTTAATACCAGAGCGAGTCCTTCCTCCTCCAACAACAAGAGGCACTGGTGCCCCAGGAACCTCATCTGTCATCACTCTGGTTTTGGCTACTTCCGCCTCTTACCGTGGATATTTTAGCCTCGTCATCCTCAGACTGGAGCGTGTGTGAGTTAAAAAGAAAAAAATATCCCACTCCAGCTCCAAGCATTGTGTGTGCAGGAGTGTTGCTGATTACATGTGCATTTGATTAAGATGTAGCAGGAGCTACCTGGTACAATTAATCACCTTCAATCTGGTAAGGGCGCACGGAAGGCTGAAGAGGGTGCGTCTGCCTGGCAGAGGTCACCACGAAACATCAAAGCGAACGGGGAGGGCAGCCTGACCGGCGGTCTCCGAGCCAGAGATTTACTGGTAAGATTGTGACTTCTTAATCGCACGTCATTTCCACACATACCCCGGTAAATCTGCCGTCCTCCCTTCCCTGCAGCTCCTTGCGAGGTGTGTGCGGGAGGGGAGCATGACGGATGCGACTGCCATCGGGGTTGTGCAACCGAGGAGCAGGATTTCGTTTTCTCCAAGCGGCGGAGACGGGTATCTGACTCACTTCTTCCCTTGGTGCCATCCAGGGATAAGCAGACCCACACAAATTTTGTCAGGCTTCCCGGAGGCTCCGCCAGTCAGGTGAGAAGGGAGGAGGCTGCAGCGCCAGCCTGGGGAAGCAGCCGCTTCGAGGGGGCATCCCTACAAAAGCTGAAGCCCCGCTTCGTCTTTACCTTAAAAAAGAAAAAAATACCGGGCGCTTCTGCAAAAGCAGCAGCCCCGCTCTGCGCAGTGAGCCGGGTGATCATCAGCTGTGTACAATCGGGTGTTTTCACATGTGGTTGTCCTTTCCCAGGAGGTGCAAAAAGCGATCGAATTTTTTTACCTCCCCCTGGTACAGCTGCAGCGAAGCACAACCACTGCCCCGGCGGAGATGAGCCGTGCCGGGGGGGGGCAGGTGGGTTAAGTTTCAGGGGGGGGTTTACATCATCGCGCTTCTTCCCCAGCCCAAGCAGAGGCTGCGTCGGCTCCTGGTCGGCAGAAGAAGCCCCTTGGGGTCGTCCTCCCCTCCACCAACAGGTGATTCATCTCTGTGGGTTCCAGGCATGACCACACATTTGTCCTTCCTGCACTATTTGGTTTTCAAGACGATTTTTCTTTCTGGCTGGGATCATTCTGGATCTGCTGAACTCCTCTGGCTATGGAGGCCAGGAGTGGAGAAGAACCCTCTGCTTGGCAGCGGTTCGGACCCTGCGGCTTTCTGAGGTTAATGCCTGTGTAAGGACTTGCTCGTTCTGGACTGAGAGCACCTCATGGCAACTTGTCACTGATCTTGGGGAAAAGCTGGATGAGGGATCTGTTTCGATACCACGTTTCAGGATTATTTATTGTTTTTCCACAAAAGCTGAGTATCTCTTGAAATTGCAAAAAAAAATTTAGCAGCAGTTTGTAGACTCTGAAGTGGAAAAAAAAAACCCAAAACAACTCCAAAACCTGAGATCAGAATCTGCCTTTAGTTTCTTTCAGCCGAAACGCTGAGCATCAATCACCTCTGGAGATGCTGTGAGATAGGGTACATGGCTCTTGCTGTCTCCCTTTGCAGCACTTATTCCTCAGGGACATCAGAACCGGAGCGTCATCCCACACGGGGAATCCTTCAGCAGCAGCGAGATTAGCGTGCGCTGTTAATTGGCTGGAATAACCTACGAAATGCCAAAAGACGGCTTCAAGGAACAAAACTAGCAGATGCAGACCACGGGGCCAAGGAGAGGACTTTCCTCCTGCTGCAGAGCCCATGTGTGGTGGTGACCAGGAGGAACCGGCCCTTCCCGGGGCCGTGGGTGCAGAGCGAGGGCAGCCAGCGAGGCAGAACCACGTAGGCACGACAAGGGGAAGAGAGCGAGAAGGATTTCTAGATTTGGGAAGGGATTAGGATGGTGTAGCCTGGAAAACAGGGATGGAGGGAGGAAGGGAGATGTCCCACATGCAGAGCAAAGGCGACATTTGCTGAGGATGTGAGGAGAAGGAACCGCTCAGCCAAGCCCCAGGAGGTTTAGATGCTGCTCAGTGGGGAGCTTTTTGGCTCTAAAAATGCTTTCCTGGCCTCCAGGAAAATTAATGATTCGGTGACACTGACAGATGGCAATTAGTGTCAGGATTAGACTGAAACTGGGGAGTTTCCAACCTGCCTTGCACACACCTGAGATTTCTTCGCTTGGCATCCGACTTTGTTAAGCAGGACTGCTGCGTGTTAAAGTTAGGCAAGACGATTATTTTGTCTCTTAAAAAAGAGCTTTCGTTCGGAGGTGAAAATGAAAGTGACCTTCCGAAGAGGAAGGAACAAAAAAGAATCTACCAATCTTGCTAATAATGGAAAGTCCTAGAGGGGAAGGATCTCCGTGTATTCTTCAATTTGCATGAATGGCTGAGCCCGTGGATGAGAATTTCCTCCGCTAATGAAGCAGGTGACATGCTAATCAAGGCAATGCAAATAACTGCTCCGAAAGCACAGCCCTGGCGCCGCGGGCCCGAGGCAGCCACAATGGCAAATTCAAGCCTCGTCCTCAATTTTGCAGCAAATTGGCGGAGGGCAGGACAAAGGAGCCGGGATTACAGTCTCAGAGCTCGCGGCGGGGACTCGCGATGGGGCGTGTGTGATGGATACCTCGTTACATAATGGGGCCTTGATTGATACCATGTCGGGCAAAGTCATAATATAGCTCCACATAACAATTCAGCTTGTCTCCCAGGATGGGAAATGCTCCTACACACACGCTTAACAGGGTTTTTTTAAATTGCCCATTGTATTTCCGAACAAGAGAAACTTATTTGGAGTACTTTCCCTTTTACATCCCCAACATAAGCATCTGAGGATGTTGCCATGTGTGTTCTTCGCACTCCTGCAGACCCCATTGCCCTTTTTTTTTTTTTCCCCGGGGCAGCTCTGTGATCACCCACCCAAAGCGACGTGTTCAAGGGTTGCCCGTGAAGTGCACCCGCTCTAGAACGTCCAAAATCAGTCCCACGTGAAGTAACGGCTGCCTCTCGGGACATAAAGGAGCCGTAAGCCTGCCGATGACTGATCTGGGTGGCTCTTTGTTTTACTTGGAGACTGCCTGGCTTGGAGCTGACGTGTCCAGGTTCTCACACGCCCCGATGGAAGTTCGGTCTTGAACTATGAATTTCCTGAACAGCGCGGAGCATAAATGCAGACACTTAACGTGGTGCATTTACTTTTACAACCAGACTTGCCCTTATGGCTGATCTTTGAACTTGGTCAGTACAAGATGTTGACATTTGGAGTAAAATCAGTACAAGTACTCCACCCATACAAAGCTGGCATTTTAACTGAGACATAAAGAATAAGTTCTGGAGAGACATTGTACTTCTGTACTTTTTTTATTTACTACCTTTCCAACCTTCTTTCAGACTAAACATGTTAATGAGATGAATGTCAAAACCACCCACAAGTAAACGGAGTTGTCCCATCCAGTAGGCTAATGTTGATTTGTTTTTAGTAACTAGCAAGGATGCTGGAAAACCCCTATAAAGATTTCATTTTTAACAAAAAGTACCCAAAACTCCACCAGTTTTGCATCACAAAGTAGTGGTTAAAGTAAAGATTTGAGTAAAGCAGCATGTCTGTGGTTTTTGTGGGTGGATGCATCTCGGAATGACTATCAATCTGTCAGAGGGGAGATCTGCATGTCATCTCCACAGATGACAAGCAAAATCTGCAGTGACAAATATCTTTCCAGTGCCGGGCTGCGCTGCGAGCCTCGTACCCCTCCTGCCATCCATAATAGTGAAATCTTGCCAGCACGTAGCGTACGAACCCACTTTTTTTTTATGAAAAAAAAAAAAATTAAATAAACTCTGAGACAAACTGAGGAAGGAAAGGCAAATATGGAGCAACGCTCCAAGATGCAATCGAACGCCGCTGCCAACGTGCTTAGTCATATAGAAATCCAAGTCTGCTACGCACACGGGAGATGCCGGGCCGAATCGTTGTGTCGGGCCAGCCAGCGCGCTTCTGGCAAGCTCGCACGAGGTTTTGCAATGCTTTTCTGCTGCAGTGAGTGGGACACTTGGGAATAAAGTTATGTAAGGCTGGAGGGGGGAAAAAAAAAAAAAAAAAACAGTAACCAAATCAAAGTAACTCAAGGGAAGTTGGAATATGGGTATGAATGGAATTGCACCCAGGAAACTTCAAAGAAAGAAAAGAGAAAATACTGATTGATTTAGACCTTGACCGCTGGTAGGAAAATGGATAAAACCTACAGAGCTTTTGGTGAATGCGATGCAGCCACGGTGAGGGAGCATGCTCCGCTGTCCCTGGCAGCGTGAAGCTGCAGCTCGGCTCCCGCAGAGCCTCTTCCCACACTCAGGGCTCCACAGGAAAAATGGAAGTGGTTTGCGACACGGGAAAAAGGTCTGAAACTTCAGAAATATTCACGAGGTGGGAAAACCACCCTGTGCC